CGAAAAATTTCAAAAACGATGTCTAGAAGTACGCGAAAATGAGACTCATATTCGCCGGTACTTCTAGACATTGTTTTTGAAATTTTCAATTTTTTTCGATTTTTGAGAGATTCTGAGTGTGAAGCCTTAGTTGGAGTACGGTAGATGAGAATGAATAAAAAAAGCAGAAAAGCACAAATATGAAATGAGCAATGCTCATTTGGTGTGCAAGGATCACTATACAATAATGGAGAAAAGTTCCGAAACATCGGGTTCTGAAACGTCCCGGAGTCCTTTTTGGGGGCTTTCTTGGGCGAAATTTTGAAAAAAACCATTAGAAAAGTTTGGCCTGGAAAATGCTGAAATTCTTCAAAACGGAGGATTTTTTGGGATCATTTTTTTGGGACTTTTGGAATAGTTTCAAATTTTTAAAGTTTTTCAAAAGTGGTCCACAAAACTGGTCCGACTGAAACTCTCGGAAAATTCACCGAAATTCAAAAATGGGATTTTCTGACTTATTGAAATTCCGTATTTTAGAATTCTGAAATTTTGTATTCTAGAATTCTGAAATTTTGAATTTCCTGAATTTTCGTTTTTTGTTTTAATTCTGGACAAAATTTTAGGGTTCTCATGGATTTGGCTGTCTAGAGACTCAACTTATGTCCTTCAATCCTCCTACCGTATTTCCTCTAATAGACTGCCACACAAAGCGTCAACTTTGAGCTCAATTATCTCGAGCTCTATGAGAGATACCAGAAATTTGTCAACTGATAAAATTCATCTGATATCATGATAACCATTTTATCAGTTGACATATTTCTGGTATATCTTCTAGGAACCGAGATAATTGAGCTCAAAGTGATACGGTACATTAAATAACTCAAAATCTGTTATTTCCTCTAATCGCACCCCTCAACATTTCCAGAAACTCCTCCCCATCAGTCTCAATGTTCTCCGGAATCGCTCGAGATCGTGTCAGCCCGCAAGCCGTACAAGAACTGCTGGATTTGAATCGATTGGGTAAACAAATCATGACTAATTTTCATTCCATCTCACTGCATTCTTTTTTCTGAAAAAGCAAAATTTTCTAATGAAATTTTCGGGAAAAAATTTGAATTTCCCGCCCAGTCAATTTTCTGAAATCCAATAGAACATCAACATTTTGCAGGAGGTGCTCGTGGCCGAGCCGCCAGTCCGGAGAGTGTCCGAAGTAGTCGATCGCCGTCGCCGCCAGCGTCGAGTAGTGGACGAACGTCGCCAGGTAGGGTTGTTTCTAGGCCATGCCATAAAAGACATTTCGAAACTATGTGACACTTCGAAACCAGTCATTTCGAAACTATGTGGCACTTCGAAACCAGTCATTTCGAAACTATGTGACACTTCGAAACCGCGACATTTCGAAACTATGTGACATTTCGAAACCAGTCATTTCGAAACTATGTGACACT